GAGTGGAAAGTTATAAGGGGTGTTTTTGAGGGGTATCTAAGAGCCGTTGGATAAAATCCAACGGTGAATTTTCAATTTTGTCTTTTTGGTAAAACTGGGTTGAAATTACCCATACCAAAAGAGGCAATCCGAAAGTGCAGAACACGCTCTTTCATCGTTAACCCTCCTTCCTCGCCAGCCACCTACTCTGCAATATGTTCTTCTCTCTCTCTCTCTCTCTCTCTCTCTCTCTCTCCCTCTCTCTCTCTCTCTCTCTCGATGTCTGGTTTGTGGTTATCAAAGAACCAAAATCCATTCGACAAATATCTTGCAACCAACACAGACACAACGGAGGGTTTTGAGTCTTTTTTATTAGAGATATTTAGTTATATACTCATTTAATTCCTCTCCTCTCTCGCACTCTCCCTTGCCTCAGCTTCAGCTCGCCAGCCATCTCGCTACTGTCCAATCTCGTTCTCCACCCATCCATCGTCATAACCCAGCTCTCCTCAAATTCGGAACCCTAGTTTGACCCTAACCAAGCCGCCGCAACTCACGACCTCCTTCGTCGACCTCAACCGTGAAGCCACAGTCGCGACCTCCATCGTCGTTCTCCACAGTGGTGAGTTCTGATATTGGTTTTGTACTCTCTGTCTGTTATAAATTCGTTGATCCCCCTTTGTTTATTATTGCAACAGCAGGGGCATTCATGGCACCGCTCCAGCCTCCTCTCCTTTGCTCTCTAACTGTAAGTTCTCTTCTTCTACGTCTTCAAATTTCAGTACTCCTCCTGACCTGAACCACCGATTTCTCTGGTTCTCTTCATCTTCATGTCATTCAATTTCAATTTTTTTTTTCCTTTCTAAATTCTACTTTAGGGGTTTAGGAATTAGGGATTCAGTTGGGCATTTAGAACTTAGGGATTAATTTTCGAAATTCTAATTTAGGAATTCATTCAATGCCTAATTTATGAGCTTTAGCTTTATGAATTATGAAGTAGACTACTTGTTTTTAATTGATCATTGGTAATGGTATTATTGTAGTTTTTAATTGATCTTTGCATATTTCAGATTTTAGCCTTACAATTTTAGTGGCTAGGCAGCTTGCAATTTTGTGTAAACAGGTTATTAAATTCTTTTAGTATTAATGGAAGTTGTGTTACTAAATTACCAGTACCTACGCTCTTGGTTGACATGGTTGTTATGAATTGTAAGATTAGCTTACTATTCGATGGACCCACTTGTTGATATTAGGAAATGGAGTTATTAATTGAAATGAATGGGAATCTGCTTGTTTCTTATGCTATTAGATTTTGTGTGAGTGTGATGCTAATCAGCCATTGAAATACACATATTTTGGTGTTAATATTTGAAGTATTGGAACATGGGAAAGTTGAAAACAGGCATCTTCATGAGATGCTTGAGCAAGATTTGAAGTATTGCAAGAGCATTAAGTAGACCTCCTTTGATATGGCTTGCTTTAGAATGTAACATATGGATCTGAATTCCTTGTTCTGAAGGTGCCCCTGTAGATTATTTGTTTCAAGTCATGATTCTCTTACACCTATATAGAAACATAGGATTGGTTTGTTTTTATTTTATCTGGAATTGTTTGTTTTTTAGAAAATGGAGGATATTAGACTACTTCAGAAAATTGTGGTTGTTCTGTTTACTATTGCCTTCTTTAGGAAGCTTATATAAAGTACATGTGGAGCTTCTTAAGTCAGACAATTCCATATTGCCCCATTTTTTGCCAAACCATCTGCTGATTTTTTAATGGTTCTTGTTGTTCCTAATCATGTTCCCGTAATATCACTTTTTGCAGGGCCTTCATTGTGTCTGGAAGGTTGGTTCCAGCTAATGATGTTCTAGCTACACTGTATTCTCTACCAGATAAAGTGGTAGATACTGTCGGTATTACGTCATTGCCATCTGAAGATTCTATATTTGAAAGGAGAAGGAAATTGGACTTCCTTCATATGCAGGAAGAACTGATGAAGGTTGGAATATTTTTTCTTTTATCTTGATAGCTTTATAGATATCTATTGGTGCTTTAGGAAGCTGCAGAACTAAACTTGCTAATCTGTATTTCATCAGGAGGAAAATATGTGTGTATTTTGTTAAGCCAGTTTTGATGCATTTGTTTTGGACTTGGCTGAAATTCGGAATCCAAAAAATAAAAATAAAAAAAGGATGAGCAATCAAATAATAATGTTGAAAACAAAACTCCTGAAATCAATATTATGACTATCATCCAGAGATTCTAAATTATTATATTGCAGAAGGAGGAAGAGAGAGAAAGAAGAGCAAGCCAAGATGAAGGAAATTAAAGCCAGTGAAGAGGATTTGGCATTGAAAGAGATGATTATTCCAACAGCAAAAGAAGCACGAGAACAAGCAAGGGCAAGGACACTAGAAAAGGAAGAGAAGATTTGTGAAATAAGTTGTGCATTGGCTGTTTTGGCTTCTGCATCTGTAAGGACTGGATTTAATAACTCTCAATGATTATGATTGTTGATTTTTCATTTTTCATTTTCCAAATTTTCAAGCACTATCATCTACACTATGGCTTAACAGTTTTTAATTTTTTCTGTTATTGACTCATTATTTCAGTCAGTTAGTAGGGAGCGTGAAGCGTTCCTGAGACTTGTCAATTTGGAGGTAATTTAAAACCCTTAATTACTCCTAGTTTATATTAGGTATCTATTAAGATGGAAGCATTTATCGTTGGTACCCTTACCATAGGTATGCATGGCATGCTAGTCTTCTCACGCTCAATATATGCAGACGCATTGGAGGTTTAACTGCTTACAGCTTATCAGGAGGACCGTACATCACAAATATTGTCTGCAGTTCTGATTTCCATGTTTCTGCTTGTACTGTGGATGTATTGGAAGAATTTGGATGTTGATGTCCACTATGCTTTGGCCCCTTTTAGTTTGAAGGATGTGTAGATTGACGACTTTTTAACTTTTAATGTGATTTACTTATGAGCTGTCTTCTACACATTATGTGCATGCATGCAACTCTGTCTTCAGCGTCATGTTCAAGTCAGAAGAATACTTCTGTATGTTCTTGTTTTAGTCCAAATGCATTGTCTTTGGGAATATTTTGCTTAAGTTGATTCTTTTGATCTTTCCAGATTGAACTTTACAATGGCATGGTGGAGAAAGAGGGTACAGATGGTGAAAAGGATGCCTTGAAGGCATATAAAGTTGCTCATGATGAAAGTGACAGTACTTCTGTTGAGGCTGAAGGTGACGAGGTTTCATCAGCGCTTATAGACAAGGTTATATATTAAATTCTGAATTATCTACTTTTAACGTACTTACCCCTCGTTCACTTGATGGATTATCGTATCTTCTGTGTATCAGGTGGATGCAATGCTTCAAAACCTTGAGACAGAAATTGATTATATATGCGCATATTGGTGATCTCTGGCAATTACTTGACTGGTGAACTCGTCTTGTTTCGTCTTTGGTTTTCTTTTCCTATGAGTTCTGTTAGAAATCATACTTCCTACTGAATGGAAGCAATCCTTCTTTTCTTGTCTTTCAATCTGTAGTCGGTTTAAGTTGTTATTAAACTCATTTTGAGGGATACTAGTAATGTTAAACTTTGATGGATGGTATTGCATTGGAATTTTGTCTATGTAATTAAAGGTATGAGGTTTACAATATGTGTGCATGGATTTTGATGGGAAAGTAACTCCTGATGAGGTTGCAGTTGCTGCGAACTACTTGAATTATACTTTAGGCAAGGAGGGCATCCAAGAACTCATAGGCAACCTTTCCAAAGATAAAGGTGAGTGAATTTTGTTTACACCGTATATGTATAGGAATCTAAATCTAATATGTTGATGATGATTTTTCCTTGAAGTTAATTTGATTGATTGATTCATGAAGATGATGATGATGATGAATGTTGTTATCTTTGTGTGTGACAGATGAGAAAATTCGTGTGGAAGATATTGTGAAATTGGGCAGCCGGACAGAAGATGCAAACCAAGCTGAAGATGAGGGATTAGGGAATAATATATATGAGTCACTGACTGACTTTATTCATGATATATATATCTGAGACTCTGAAATGGTTGTGGAGTGGATTTGGTTAAATCCACTCTGTAGGTTTTGTTTTTCAATATACACGCAATGCAACAAACCAAAATTGTTTACCTACTTGCATGCAACACTAGTTAATGTTCTTCTTTTCTTAGGTCCAAAGACCCATCTTCCTCATCCACACCATTAGCCACCGCAAGCACCACCAATGAGTTTGCAAATTCAATTTGTAATATTTGTTCTTGAAATGGGTGGATTGGCATTGGCTTTAAATTTTTGTTTGAAACAGAAGCATTTATTTATCTGAAACCCAACAAAAACTTTCCAAGATAGACTTTGAAAAAAAGTGAAATGACAATGAAAAAACTTATAAATTTCAGATTTATTGCATGTATATTGCTTGTTTATTGCAATAAACATGCTCAACAAGATAACTCTAATACAAGCTTTCTCCTATCGTGTATATTGCTCGTTTATTGCGAGTGTATTGCTCGTTTATTGTGTGTATATTGCATGTTTATTACATATATATTGCATATATATTGCAAGTGTATTGCATGTTTATTGCATGTGTATTGCTTGTTTATTACATGTGTATTGTCTATTTATTGCTTGTTTATTTCGGTGTATTTTTTGGATTTTTAATTTATTTATTATGAATTTTAGAAGTGAAATACAAGAAAAATAATATTAAATTATAGAGAATCACACGTGGCAGACGCTAAAAGGAGAGCCGTCATTGTTTTTGACAGGTGGCGTCCTAGGATTCCGCCACATGCCATTTTGTTTACTTTTTCCCAATTTATCTTTAAAAATTATTTTAAAAAATTAATTAAAAATCAGAAAAATACACCAAAAATTGCTACAAACTCCTTACATTTTCTTTGACTATAAAGTCCTAAATTATTATTCTATTACTTTTTATCCTAAATTGTTATTATATTATTATTTACCCTAAAATATTATTATATTACTTTTACCTTGAATTATTATTATATTGTTATCAATCCTAAATTATTATTATATTTTAGTATTTATCCTAAATTATTATTATATTACTTTGTACCCTAAATTGTTATTATATTGTTATTAACCCTAAAATATTATTATATTATCATTTACCCTAAATTATTATTCCATAATTTACCCTAAAAAGCGCGTGTTTTTTTGGGCGTACTCTTCTAATTTACGTGTCTTTTTTGGCGTACTCTTCTAATATTTTATTATTTTTTAATGAATTTTTTAAGATAAATAATAAAAATATAAGAAAAATTACACGTGTCGCTGTGATCGAAGATGTGGAATCATGAACTAAAAAACACGAACTCAAAATGTGGAACCATGATTTTAGACCTTTATAATCGAAGATAATGTCACATGGAGTTTGTAACAATTTTCGGTGTATTTTTTTATTTTTAATTATTTATTTATGAATTTTTAAACAAAAACAACAAAAAGGATCAAAATAGACAATGGTGCAATCAATGGAGGATAGCCGTTAGACTCACTGACCGCGCCCATTCAGCTTCCGCCATGTGTCGCTCTACCCCATTTAATAATAATTTTCTAGGATTTAACTTACAAAATTCATAATAAATGAAATAAAAATTCAAAAAATTCACCAAAAATTGGTATGAACTCCTTGTGACATTCTCAATGCCCTAAAGCTCCAAAAATATAATTTTGACTCATAAAAATTGAAATGATAATAAAAACTCAACTTTGTTTGAAAACAAACCAAAACACGAAATTATGTTCTATAACATTATGATCTTGTTCTTTGATTTAACGCTTAACATGAACTTAAATATGTAGAATCACGATTTTATACATTTATAGTCGAAGATAATGTTATAAGGACTTTGTAGCAATTTTCGGTGTATTTTTTTTATATTTAATTAATTGTTTATGAATTTTTAAACATAATTTGAGAAAAGTATCAAAACTAACACGTGTCGCAATGACAGGAGGACAAGCATCAGACACACTGACTGCGCCCCATTCAGCTTCTGCCATGTGTCGCCCCATACGATTTAATATTATTTTTCTAGGATTTAACTTTTAAAATTGATAATAAATTAAATATAAATCCAAACAATACACCGAAAATTGGTACGAACTTCTTGTCACATTCTCTACTCCCTCAAACTCCAAATATATAATTTTGACTTATAAAATTTGAAAATGATAACAAAAATTCAACTTGTTTCAAAACAAACTAAAACACTAAATTATGTTATATAACATAACACTCGCATTCTTTGATTTTAACGCTTACCATGAACTCAAATATGTGGAATAATGATTTTAGACCTTTATTATCGAAGATAATGTTATCAGGAGTTTGTAGCAATTTTTGGTGTATTTTTCTGATATTTAATTAATTTTTTTTATATGAATTTTTAGTTGATAAAAGTATCAAAGTGACACGTGGCGCAATGATAGGAGGACAACCATCAGACACACCGACTGCTCCCCATTCAGCTTTGGCCATGTGTCGCCCCACACGATGTAATACTATTTTTCTAGGATTTAACTTATAAAATTGATAATAAATTAAATACAAATCCAAAAAATACACTGAAAATTGGTACGAACTTCTTGTCACATTCTCTACTCCCTCAAACTCCAAATATATAAATTTGACTTATAAAATTTGAAAATGATAACAAAAATTCAACTTGTTTCAAAACAAACCAAAACACTAAATTATGTTCTATTAACATAACACTCGTGTTCTTTGATTTTAACGCTTACCATGAACTCAAAGGGTACACTAACATTTGTTGGAACAGAGTGATTAGAAAGCAGCGTGTAAAAAAGTATATTGCAGCTAATCACATTTCAAACGGTTGGAGAATATTAAAGAGTACACTAACATTTGAACTACTCATAATTCCACACACAAAAGAAAATTTGATTACAAAGCATTTTATGTGCTCCCTCTTAGCAATACCACGATATCCCCAACCAACCGAACAACAGTAGCCACAATCACTCGGTCATATTGGTCAGTTTCTTCTTAGCAGGTCTCACATGCTTATGATCACTCATGTCCCCAGTGATATAGATGAAATAAATATTCAGCAATATTTGGAATTTTATTATATATAAATAAACCATAAACCATTCACTAAACAATGTATAGCACATGGAATGTTACTTATGACTCACGTGTCAGTTTTTTGAGAAAAAGTACACTAGCTCGTTAATGTGAACGGACATGATAATGAGGCTTTATTGATTCCCAACTCACTGTGATATTGACTGCTTATTGAATAATATTTCGATATTTGTGAAATATAATGTTAGACAGAAGGAACACATGATGACTTGCAATACATAGTCCCAATAATTATATATGAAGCAAATGAAACTGATATTTGTCTTATTTTAAATTAGATAATGACATTAAAGGAATATACTTCTAATTTGTGCAATAACACGATCACCCCCAACCAACTGAACAATGGTAGCCTCAATCACTTAGTCGTATTGGTCAGCTTTTTCTGAGCAGCTTTGACGTGCTTATGCTCATTCATGTCACCACCATCGTCTAGTATCTCTCTCACAGCATCAGGAGACACATAGTCCCAATTATAACTTATATGAGTAGTTGCCGCAAATGCTCGGAATTTTTCGAATCCTTCGTTTAATGCCAACTCCAGTTCACTGTTGTGCTCTTCGCATCGCATATGGTTCATCAAAAAACCTAAGGTTTATTGATTGTTTACATGTTTATTGAAGGTTTATTGATTGATAAAAGACATGTATTTCGCATGTTATTGGTTTGATATGGAATGTTTATTGATTGTTTACTGCATGTATTTCGCATGTTATTGCGCCGATATTGAAGGTTTATTGATTGAAAAAAGACATCTATTTCGCATATTATTAGTTCGATACGGAATGTTTATTGACGGTTTATTCAGGATGAGAGAGAGCGTGCTTTGCACTTTCGGATTGCATCTTTTGGTATGGGTAATTTCAACCCGATTGTAGTATAACAGTTCAACCATGGGATCGATCTGATGGCTATAAAGTGAACCCCTTATAACTTACCACTCATTATAGTCTGAGCGGCAGAAACGACCTAGGTTGCAGATGGCCTAGCTCCCAAGACCCAGCCCTGCTGAGGGCCTAGCTCTCAGACCCGAGACAATTTTCACCAAGACTGCAGAAAATCCAAAGCCCCCTTGCCGAACGACAAGGAGCGTGCAAATGTTTTTGGGGGACAAAGCTTGACAAATGCCCAAACCCTATAAGTTGAAGTCACAGCTAAGACAAGACCCCTGGTCCAACCCACGAGCCCAGCTCCAATTTGGAGGCCCAGCCCTGCCAAAACCAAAAAAAAAAAAAAAAAAAAAAAGGCCCAACACCAA